CAAGTTCAAGCCATCTATCTCCCCCACTGCCAATTAAATTTAGTGAATATTTATTACCCAGGATATAACCTTGTTTCCAAAAATAATTGGTCTAACTTTATTCAGTCATTTAACAAACCTATTTTGATTATGGGGGGACTTAAATTATAATCATGTGTGTTGGGGAAGCTCCTCAAATAGCTCAAACGGTAAAAACAATAAATTCTTTAGATTCTTTACAATTAGTGTTTTTAAATGATAGATCTCCTACACGAATTTCTCCAGCAAACGGTGATAAATATGTTGTTGATTTAACCTTTTGTTCAATAGATTTGGCTATAAATCAACTTGGGAAGTGATTCCGGATTTGGGCTTTAGTGACCATTTCCCTACCAAATGTAAGATAGGTATCCTTAATAATAGCCCTCCCACCCCTAACAATAGAAGAAACTTCTACAAGGCAGATTGGAATTCTTACTTTAATAAACTGATTACTATTGTTCCTTCCTTACCCAAAGATAATTATTCTGAGTTCATATCTATAATAAATCAAGTTGCTGATACTACTATTCCCTTCTTCAAGCCTAACAGGAATGTTAAATATCATATCCCTTGGTGGGACGATCCATGTAATGAACTTGTATCAAACAGCGTAACCTCTATTAGAAATTTCATGGAAAGTTGAAATTTAGATAATTACATCCAAGTTAAAAAAATATAGCTACAACTAAAAAATTTCTCAAATCCAAACGAAAAAATAACTTTAGGATGTATTGTATTTCCCTCAATCGTCATTCTTCCCTGAAGAAGTCCATTTGGAATAAAATTAATAACATTTCTAGTTTAAAACAAAATCTCTCGAATCTAATGCCTACCCAATCGATTCCGCAAGAAATCTTAAACATTCTTTCCCCTCCTTCCCTGAAAAATGTATGCCAAATTAATAGCTTAACTCATTCCGAATCCCCTTTACTCTTAATGACTACTCAAGTGTGTTAAATTTGAAATGAGACTCTTCTCCAGGCTTAGATATTATTTCATACTCTATGCTAAAAAATGTACCTCGTTCAGACTCCTTGTTTCTTCTGAGTATCTTTAATAAGTGTCTTTTAACAGGCTCAATTCCTCAACAATGGAATCAATCCTTAATTCTACCTATAATTAAGCCAAATAAAGATAAAATGGTAGCTTCAAATTTTAGACCTGTTTCTCTTTCCTCTTACGTAGGCACAGTATTAGAATTCTTAATCAAAAATCGACTTGAATGGCATTTGGAAAATAACCAAATTCTTAATCCCTTGCAATTGGGCTTCAGAAGAGGCAGGGGTTGTACGGATTGTCTTGTCTATCTTACATCACAAGTGCAAATAGGCTTCTCCCTTAATGAATTTACTATTGGTCTCTTCATTGATATTTCTACTACATATGATTCAGTTAATATTCCTCGGTTATATTCCAGTTTACTAGATGCGCATGTCTCAGTGGATTTGGCCAATTTAATATACTCTTTTTTAGCTCAAAGAGAACTATTTACTCGAGATAATTTGGGCCACATCCGTGGTCCTTAAACTACTAATCAAGGTCTTCCTCAAGGTTCTCAGCTCAGTCCCATTTTGTTTAACCTTTATACCTTGTCTCTATTTGATATTCTGCTTAAAAATTTTAAATTAATTCAATATGCTGATAATCTGGTAATACTGGTTAATGGATCTAATGTTTACAATATGATACCACGTATCAACTCCTCTTTGCTTAAATTAGAGTCCTGGTTGGAAAAACTTAACCTTAATCTTTCATTGCATAAAACTTCGGCAATTTTATTTTCTATCATCTATAAATCTCAAATCAGTTAATGGAAGGATAAAGTTAAATATTTGGGATAAGCATTCATAAGAATCTTAAATGGAATTATCACTTTAATGATTTAAATGTTAAGATCAATCGTAACCTCAATGTCATGCGTGCTCTCTGTGGGACTTGGTGGGGATGCGATCTACAAATATTAAGAATTTTACATAAATCAATCATTTTGTCTCACTTGGATTATGGATGTCAAAGGATATACAAAAGCCCTCGTATACTCACAGGGTGTTTGAAATCTACCCCAATTCTAGCCTTATTGACAAAGACATGTGAAATCTCCCTTAGATTTAGAAGACAATGGCTATCCCTTAAGTACCTAATTAAAAATATGTCTTTGGTAAACAAATCCCATTATCACTGCTTTAAGAAAACTAGAAAAATATATGGGGTCTCTACCTACTGGAACAACAAAAGTAATCCTCTACTTGTCCAGCTCATCAGTTAATTCGATGTCGAAAATCCTCACTTATATACTTCAGAGCTTTTAGCATGTTATAAATTTGATTTCCAACTCCAATTGGCCTCCATTCCTATCATAAACATTGGCGCTACTAAATCTGAAAGTATAGGAATTGTACAACATCAGAATATCATCAGGAAATACCCATCTTACACCAAGTTCTATACCGATGGCTCAATACATTCTTCCGGTCACTCAGGATTTGGAGTGTATAGTCCAGATATAGATTATGCATTCTCAAGTAAGCTTCCTTTCCATACTTAAATTTGTACAGCTAAGGTAAAACAAGGCCTTGCAAGTAATATTATACAAAAACATCGTTCAATCCATTATCCTTTCAGACTCCAAAGCTGCACTTCAAAAAATAGCAAGATATGCTTTTCCAGGAAAACTGAACATTGTTCCATCTTGACTAAGGAAGGTATTTTACTCGCAAAAGATGAACATATCAAAATAATTCTGGCATGGATTCCAGGCCATTCTGGGATTCTGGGTAACTTCAAGGCAGATCAATTGGCAAATATAGGAAGATTTCTGAATATTCCAGTCAATATCAAATTAAACTATCATAATTTCTTTCCATTCATCAGAAACATTGTGAATTCAAGATGGCTTGAGGAATGGAATAGCCTCAAGAGTAGGAAGAATTTCATTTAATCTAAAGTCGTTCCATATTAATTTATTAGGAAATATCAAAAGACAGATATAGGATATATTAATTTAATTTATCAAAACTTTATTTTTGAGATCAAAAACGCCTAATAACAACTATTTTTGTACCTACATTTTTAAAGTGCATAATAACAATAAAATCAATTTTATAGTCACAATTAATTTGGACCTTATATAAATAAGCTTTTATTTCGTACTGAGTTTGTCACTATAGACGTGTCGTAGTACAGCATAGTAGGAATAAGATGATCTTAGTATCTAAAACAGAAAAAATATTAATTATTTTCATTCTGAAGTTTCTTTATTTCAAATATCGTTCCATTTATACAAATTGTATGGATGGAACTGTATTTTCAGAAGTGGCATAGCTTAGTGCTACACTTTCGATTCAAAGGAAAATACCTATTATATCTAATTTAAATTAGGCGAGCAGAAAAGCTGTGACTCTAATGTCAGTTCGCAAAAAACGTCAACTTTGTGGTTGTATTTCGAAGCGCAAAAAACCTACTTTGGATAGTGATCGTAGAAAAAGTTATTTATTCTATTTTAATAAACAACATGGTGAATTTAAAAATTTGTTTTGCATTTCAGACATGAAGTTGACCTTCAAATGACCTTAAGTGTAATCAGTAAGCGAAAATCAAAGACTTAGTTAGTTAGTTAGTTAGAGGCCATGTTATATGTCACGATGACGTAATGTGGCGGAAGGCGTGGCTTTTACGAATTTGACGTATCAGCAAATGAAAACAACGCGCGAAAAAAAAATTAAATCGGTTCATGGTTAATTAGATAATCATATTCCACACCACAATACGTCATGCGCGAAGTATCATACCTCTTTTTTTTTGTATCATAGTTAGAACCTGTATATAATGAAGTGTCTACAGGAGGATTTGGAAAAATCAGGCATCTCGAAGCATACACTTCTTTTTTTTATTTTTCTTATTTTTCTTATTTTTCTTATTTTTCTTATTTTTCTTATTTTTCTTATTTTTCTTATTTTTCTTATTTTTCTTATTTTTCTTATTTTTCTTATTTTTCTTATTTTTCTTATTTTTCTTATTTTTCTTATTTTTCTTATTTTTCTTATTTTTCTTATTTTTCTTATTTTTCTTATTTTTCTTATTTTTCTTATTTTTCTT